AGTTTTACTTCACATGCAACACAAATAGGTCATATAAGTGCCAAAGATTACAGATATTACTAGAGAGTTACATACACAGAAAAGATGGAGGAGAAAAAGGTACCATTGACGTCTGATGGGAAAGAAGGAGTAAACCACACTAGAGCAACTGCCAACAACCCACAGAGGAAGGTTTTTAGGGAGAAAAGGTGGGGAGGGACAAAAAAGAAAAAAAAGAGAGGTATGAGAAGACTGAGGGTGGTGAATGCTGATTTTAAAAAAATATTTTTTTTTGGGTAAGTGTTTTACGGCGCTCACAACTGCATAAGCTCATAAAAGCGCGAGGGACACATTAAACATTTCCCATTGGAGGACATTTTGAATTTTGCCCGGGTGGTGGCCGAAACCTACTCTCGTCGATTTTAGACCACCAAGGGATCGTTAACGTGCGCAACTTGCACATGGGCCCTCCGAGATTTTTAGCCCTTGTCGGAAAAGGCTAGGTGTAGATCTTTCCTACCAGAAGATTAGGAGTGTGAGTGAAAGACAGCAGTAAGAACGGGCCAAGGAGTAGCAGTAGAAAGACATAAGAAAGAGTCAGGAGCCCAGAGGAGGGGACAAAGGAGGTGAGGGTGTGGGAGCAGAAGGAGGAGACGAAAGCAGACGACAGAACATTGCTAGAGACAGCAGGTAAGGAGGTGAAAGGCGACAATTTTAGAGAAGAAAATTGTTCCGTCGCTACCCTGATTCGAAGCCGGGACCTTTGAAAGAGGGGCGAACATCTTAACCTCTAGGCCACGAGAGCCCCGAATGCTGATTGAATGACTGGTGTTATGGTAAGGGGAGGGGCGGCGTTCAAATATGACTTTCTGTGTCGTCCTAGAGAAGATGTGTGTGTGTGTGTGTGTGTGTGTGTGTGTGTGTGTGTGTGTGTGTGTGTGATGTGAGTGTGTGTGTGTGTGTGTGTGTGTGATGTGAGTGTGTGTCAATGTGTGTGTGTGGATGGGTGTGTGTGTGAGAGGGAGAGAAAGAGAGAGAGACAGAGACAAGGACAGAGACAGACACAGAGACAGAGACAGAGACAGAGGCAGAGACGCAGACATGAAAAAAACAACAACAATACAAATACGAATACAAATTAAAATAACAACAATAATATTGACTAATACAATCCCCCCCACTCCCCCACCCTCACTGACAGGGAACGCGCCGAGGCGACAAAGGTCAAGGTCAAGGACCACCTGAACAAAGTGCGGGACAAGTTCGAGAGAGAAATGCAGGTCATGAGTCTTTCCCTGAGCGAGGATAAGAAGATGGAGACTTTCATGAGGACAAAACACAAGGATGTCACGCAATACTTGAGGCATCAGAGGGAGGTGGAGATGCAGAAAGGTTTGAGGGAGAGGGGAGAGGGAGGGAGAGAGAAGGGGAGGGAGGGAGAGGGAGAGGGGAGGAGTGAGGATAAGAAGATGGAGACTTTCATGAGGACAAAACACAAGGATGTCACGCAA